ATTATTTTTGAATGGTGTAAGAATACTTTCGACATGTTGGATATCGATGGATTCATTTGGTAGGTGTAACAGGCTAAAGAAATCGGACAGAAGGGTCATCCCATCTTGCACTCTGTGGTCGAGTAGGGACTGTGAAGACTACCCTGGGTATTTTGATGCTCTAGATACAGGAATTGCATGAGTGAGAATATTCGGATGTCACCTAATATAAAATAATTTAAAGCTGTTTTGGACTCATTAATATTCATAAATTAACGACTAAATCTCATTACAATATTTAATTGTTACACACCTCAACATGACCGACGTACGCGACAGCCAGCCTTCTGGTGTTTGTACATGATGATACAGATACAGGAATCGTTGATAAAAATGCTTCCAATATCTCATCACTCATGGTAAGAAAGGAAATTTTGTCAGCATAGGCCTACAGTTTCTGTAATTACACCAGCCAATTGTGTGTAACTTTCCAGGCCTAGTCTGTAATAGAAATTGTTGCTATTGATGTGGATAGGCCAGATGCGAATAGGCCAGCCAAATTGATTTCACGAACATTTTGTTGTTAAGTACAGTATGTTCCAAATGCAATATTCTTGTGTCTTCCCCACTCGCGTCTCATATTTTAAAATTTGGAGCTCTGTGATTTGGAGTTTTGTGTACAGTAAATAAATTTAACTTGTTCTATCATATTCTTTACATTGGTGTAAAACTAACTGTTAATCGATACATTTAATTTTTTTGATAATAAATAGTGTGTGTTAAATGCAGTGATATATCTTAATACCTGACTGCTTCAGGGTTTTGTTCTGTGTACAGTGAAACAATTTTATATTAACTGAGAAAATACAATTGTAATAAATTATTTGCCATATACAAGGATGATAAATTGTGTTTAAAAAATATTTATTTAGTAACACCAGTACTCTTGAATTTGTGTACAGTAATAATCAATAACCAAGTATAAGCACCAAAAATATCATGGATGTTGAAAATCATCATGAAAGAAGAAATCTTGGCTATGGTAAATAATACAAGGCAATAAAACATGATAAATAAATCAGTTAAACTTGCCTAAGACGACTTCGCCATAATTTCTAAGTCAATCTAATTTTACATGCCGAATTGTTGTTTTCCATTACTGTATGTGGAAGTCAATTTTGTTAAAGTCAAACAATTTCTCAATGGCATTTTGGATACGACATAGGCAAGTTCAACTATATAAATATTTCAAAATACTAAACAAAAAATGGTGTACAACAACAAAATCGAAGTTTTCTTTTAAATTGCAATACCAAATTGATCAGCGAACGTTTAAAAGCATGCAGACATAGGCATAATCCAGCCATTACAAACTAACCAAATTCATAGACTAACTTTACACCAGACTGTAGAAAGCCATACATTAAAATAGTTGTTCCTGTATATATTCAGCCAAATTTTCATACTGTATTATAAATTTTGTGCATTATATATTTCAATATTAATCCCCACAAGTTGTTTTATAAATCTGGGTCACATATTTGCTCCAAAAGTATTAATATTGAATGGGATTACACGGTTTTAAAATAAGAAACTTATAACAACATTTATTAGTATTAAAGATATTTTGCAAGTAACACTTCTAAAACTTCTTAAAATATTATTTATTTATTATAAATTTGGCATGCATTGTAATACAGTGCTGCAATATAAACCAGATGCGTAAAAACTTCCTGTCTGCTAGTTTGTAATGTATTATGTTGTAGAAATATTAGTACAAAAAAAATCAGACATTAATGTTTCTTAAAAAAACCACTAATGCTGATATTTTTTACCATGCCAATATGCTTCATGTACTCTGGCTGAATGATGATGAGATATTCACCCAATTTTCTATTGCTCGCGTTACATTGTGTGTATCTTCCATTACAAGTTTCAGTAGACGACCGGAGTGTTTCTTGCCAAGGTCTTGCTGGGTGCTTGTATGCTTTGTACCACCATCTTTTGTACATGTTTCACTAGATGCCAGTTTTGGGTGCAGGTTGGGTGGTTGTACTAATGGCAAATGTTGGGGTATTTCTGTCTCATTATGGGAATTGTCAAATACCATGTGACCAGGGTGTCATGTATGCCTATCACATATTGTAGTCCTACAAAAAAAATAGTATTATATAGCACATCACCATTATTTAGACAGTGCAGTTTTAACATTTAGGCCTAGACAGTTTTTCATAGGACCAGGCCTGCCTAGTCGTATTATTTTGTAGTAGGCCTACCTAGGAAGGCCTATTTTTCTATGAAATAAAAAAAATGCACTTGCACAATGTGACAATGTCGCCATGGCATGAAAAGTCTAGGGCCTATACAACGATATTCTAGGCATTTACCCAGCCTTTTTAAATAGGGCCTATTGTGACAGTCCGGCCTAGTCCGACCATATCTCTCTGGTCAGACTAGCTAGGCCTATTATTATAAGTAGTAGTAGTCTAGTAGAAACCTACGGTAATAACTTTACCGTCAGCTTCAGCTGGATAGGCTACGTGAGAACTCACCTGTTGCGAGCGGGACGGGAGTACTTACGCTGGTGCTGGGTAGATATTGACTGTGTTAATCCTAGGCATAGCCATAGGTGTAGGCCTAACTATCAACAAACTAATATTAATCCAATTGAATTATTCCTTCGTGATTGAACTGACGTCGACTAAACCCTCTCTCTGTTACTGCGTACGTAAACGATCACAAAAACTCACGACTTCTCACTAACTGTATGTATTGTCGAGGCTGCTGGTCGCTCGATCATCGTCGGGACGATTCCTCGACCAGCTGCTCGCCAAAATTGACAGACTGGTCATGAAAATTAATGAGTTGGTTAAAAAGTTGCTACCAAGCTACTGAAAAAAGTGATCAGCCTCGTTTTCACCTGATTTTGATTTCTCATCATATCATGTTTTGTTTCCGTAATTGTCGTTAAATCTAACGTTTTTTTTATTTTTCCCGAACTCAAAAAAGGTTAAATAAGCAATATATGACGACTTATTTTAAACCCGCACTTGGCCTTTAATCATGAAAACATTGGTATCGAGAGTTTAATGGTTTATCATTGCATATTGCTTGAAAGTAATGGATGTTGCTAACCGGAGCTTATACTGTGTAATGAGAATATCAGTGAGATGATTCAAAGGATGCCAAGAAAAACTTGCATCTTAGACCCTTTCCCTACTAATATTCTTACTTCTGTTCATGAAATCATGACTCCCATTTTCACTGAGATAATCAACGCATCTTTATCGTCTGGAATCTTTCCGGACGATTTAAAGATATGTGTGGTCAGGCCACTTTTGAAAAAACCGTCCTTAGATCCAAATATCATGTCTAATTTTCGTCCTGTGTCGAACATTGCATTTCTTTCTAAACTTATTGAAAAATGTGTTTCTTCTGATGTAGTTAACTATCTCGAGGACAATAGTTTATTCGATCCTCTTCAATCCGCATATAGGAGGCATCATAGCACGGAGTCCGCAATCCTGAAAGTGCACAATGACATCAAGCTCGCACTCGATAAAAGCAACTGTGTCTTGTCAATATTTCTCAACCTGTCTGCAGCGTTCGATACTATTGACCATTCCATTCTTTTCCAGAGGCTTGCATCCCTAGGAATCTGTGATACAATGTTCATATGGTTTGAGTCATATCTAAGATCAAGGAAACAATTGGTTCACATAAGGAACACTACCTCGGGCTATACTGATCTTACATGCGGAATCCCCCAAGGTTCCATTCTTGGTCCCATTCTGTTCCTTATATCTATTTCTCCTTTAGGTAACATAATTCAACAACATTGTCTTGAATATCATGCCTACGCTAAAGACACACAGCTTTATATTAGTTTCAAACCAAGTGCAGGAAGATATGACGAGGCTAAGCTAACTATTGAAGCTTGCGTCAGAGATGTCTAAGTCTGGTTAGCGAAAAATATGCTCTCTTTCAATCCTGAGAAAACGGAGATACTGTTCATTTACCCGAAGTATCTTAGAAATGTGCCTATCATTCAAAACATCCACATTGGAAACACCTCAGTCATTCCATTCAATGAGGTTCGTAATATTGGGGTGATATTTGATTCATCAATGACAATAGATAGGCACATTAAGAACATCAGCAAAGCAGTATATTATCATATACGCAACATCAAAACCATTAGAAGATTCTTAACTGATGATGCAGCTATCAAGATTGTCCATGCCTTAATAACATCTCGGTTGGACTATTGCAATGCTATACTTTATGGTCTTCCTCAAAGGCATATAAGGATGCAGCAACTTCTTTTAAATATGGCTGCACGTCTTGTGTCAGGAGTTTCTAGATTTGAGCATATAACACCTACTCTTCGTCGCCTGCACTGGTTACCTGTTAACCAACGCATCTTATTTAAATTGTTGCTTTTCACATATAAATCATTAAATAATAAATCACCCTCATACATATCCAACCTGATTAAACTTCGCTCCACCACTTGTTCTAGAGCTTTAAGATCTACATCTAGTTCATCTACATTATTCATCCCTTCATGTCGTACAAGAACGTATGGTGAAAGAGCATTTTCTGTTGCTGCTCCCAAGGCTTGGAATAGCTTGCCTATCTTTGTTCGTGAGTCTCCATCTGTTGAGATATTTAAAAATCGTCTCAAGACTCATCTCTTTAGTTTATTTTAATTTGCAATTTTTTAGCGCATAGAGACCTATGTACTTTGCGCTTTACAAATCCAAATTATTATTATTATTATTATTATTATTATTATTATTATTATTATTATTATTATTATTATTATTATTATAAGTAAATGCTATCTGTAAATGGGAATCTGGCAAAGCAAATTGAATGGATTGATTTGAATAAAATCTAATCATACAAACTACGTCAGACTCCCATCTGGTTTTGCAATCTTATATCGAGTTTTCTACAATTCAATTTGCTGTTTCAACGGGGTAAGCGAGATATAAGCTTTTACACGTGTGTGCATCATGGAGTCCAAGAGAATGAGACGTGCTGCTCGACGGGAAACGAAAAGATTGGTAGATGAGCTGCGAGCTGCCGTGGAGGGAGGTGAAGTAGCATCATTCATACAAGATTTGAATGACGAGTTGAAAAAGCAATGGGACAAGCTTCAAAGTACACAGGAAGAAGTGATGAAACATGTCGATGAGGCACAGGAGGAGGAAGAAGATAAGTGGTTAGCGGGTATTCGTAAAGAATACTTAAATGTTAGGAAGGATGTATGTAAATCTAAGACAGGAGATGAGGGTCAGTTAAAGAGCGATGCTCAAAATGTAGATAAAGGGGTAGATAAGGATGTGATCCTGGCAGGTTTGTTGAAAACACTGTCAATACCTAAGACACAAATAAGAGAATTTAATGGTGATCCCCTCGCATATCATTCGTTTATTGCTACATTTGGAAATACTGTTAATGATATAACTAGTTCTGTAGTTAAGTTAAACATGTTGCTTTCCTCTTGTAGTAGGCCAGCCAGAGCTGCTATAGAATTTACTGTCATGAAACCTCCTGATGAGGGATATAAGGCCGCTCTTAAGATCTTAGGTGAAAGATTTGGTAACAAGTCTATAGTCAGTCAAGCATGGATTACCAAAGTAATGGGTAGAGGTACTGTTGACTTGAGTAAGATGACAGAGTTTTCATACGATTTAGAGAATTGTCATGATAATTTATAGGCTCTTGGATTTATTAATGAGCTTGACAATCAGGCTAGTTTACGTCAAATAATCGACAAATTGCCTAAGTTTCTCCAACACAGGTTTAGGAGTGAAAATCAGAAGATCAAAGAATCAGGTGAAATCGTTAAGCTGAAAGATGTAGTCCGGTTTGTCAAGAAGGCAGCGGCTGAGGTGTCTGATCCGGTATTTGGTGAAATTGATAAGATTAATAAAGGGGACAAGAAGCAAGTATTCACTTCCAAGCGAATTCATGTGAACCAGGCGAATACCTCAAGTGTTATAAAACCGAATAAATGCTGGTTATGTAAAACAAATGAGCACTGGACTGATCAATGCAGTAAGTTCAAAGCTTTTTCTGTTTATAAAAGATATGAATCGTGTAAGCATAACCATGTATGTTTTTCTTGTCTAAAAGTTGCAGGACGCAACCATAGACAAGATAATTGCAGTCGAAAGCGACAATGCCGAGAGCCGATTGGTGAGACGGCTGTGTGCTCCAAGTATCATCACAAACTTTTACATGTTGAAGGTAAAGTAAAGGCTGGGTTTTTAGGTCTAGCAAATTTGAGCTGCTTCAAGGAGCCCATGCTGAGACTGATCAATGTAGAAGTTGACATCAACGGTAGGACACAAGTTGCTAATGTTTTACTCGATAACGGTTCGCAGGGCACTTTTGTAAGAAGAGGTTTTGTGAAAGGCCTGAAAGGAAAAAATGTTACTGCAACAATTACAACAGTTGGTGGTGCTGAATCCATAATTCAGTCAGAAATGCTGTCATTGAATCTCAATTGTCCAAATGGTGCAGAAAAGATAACTGCTCTGGTGATAGATGATATTACAGTAGCTAAGGAAGTGCCAAGGCTAGATTTCAGCAAGGTCGAAAAAGCATTTGGCTTAGAAACACCTGCACTTAAACGTAGCGGTGGATTGGTTGACATTTTAATTGGAATAAACTTTGCAAAACTACACATTGGAAAAATGCTGGAAAGAGACAACGATGTGGTGCAAAATTCGCCATTTGGCTGGACTGTGATGGGTGGAAGTGTATCAACAAGCACACACGCCAGTAGAGTGATGCATGTAAAGATTCATGAAGGACTGGACTTGACAGATTTCTTGACAACGGAGTCGCTTGGTGTAGAGGTGAAACCCTGTGGATGTAAGACTATGAAGAATGCTGATGAAGCTTTTGAAGGCAAATTAATAGAAGATTCCTGCACAAAGGTTGGAAAACAATGGCTGATCCCCTACCCTTGGGCAAAGGATCCAAGCAATTTAATGGACAACCACTATCAAGCGAAGAGAATGCTAATTGGTTTAGAAAAACGATTAAAGAAGAATCCTGAACAAGCAAAGGCATATGCCAAGCAAATGGATGAGAGGGTGGAGATGGGATTTTCTAGAAAATTAGATGAAGAAGAGATTGTTAAGTATAAGGGGCCAACTCATTACATTCCACATCATTCGGTTTTATAGAAAGATAGTACCAGTACACCTTTAAGGATTGTTTTTAATTCTTCAAATAAGTGCAACGGAGAATCACTCAACGAATTCTGGATGAAGGGTCCCGATATGCTAAATAACATTCATGGTATACTTCTACGGTTCCGAGAACACCCAATCGCCCTATGTGGGGATATATCAAAAATGTATCATCGAATACTGGTCTCCGCAATCGACCAACATGTGCACCGGTATCTTTGGAGGAACCTAGAGACACACCGCGAACAGGACATATATGTGAAACAAGTGCTGACGTTCGGAGATAAGGCAGCAGCAACCATGGCGATTACAGCTTTGAAGTTAACTGCTCGAGAAGGAAAAGGTAGGTATCCAGAAGCAACTAATGCCATTGAAAACAACTCCTATATGGACGACATCTGCCCTTCAGTAAAGACTCGAGCCGAAGCAGTCAAGTTGACAGAAGATATTGATGAAGTGTTAAGAAACGGGGGTTTTGCGGTGAAGAATTGGGTCTCCAACATATCCTTGGGTGGATCCAAGAAAAGAGATGCACCACAGAAAGTTCTAGGCGTGCAGTGGAACCCTGGTGAGGATAGTTTTACATTCAATCTAGAAGCCGAAGTTGAACAGTTCACCAAATGCAGAGTTCTAGGGGTTATAGCTAGGATCTTTGATCCAATCGGATTAATCGCACCGGTAGTTATAAATATGAAGATCAGAATGCAAAAATTGTGGCAAGCAAAGGTAGAGTGGGATGACTTGTTGCACCATGATACTCGAGAAGAATGGAAGAGACTGTTCGAAGAGCTTAGCAAGTTGCCTAACTTGCCTAACACCACCGATGTCAACCGATGAAGTATCTTTGGTATTGTTCTGTGATGCTTCTGAAAAAGTTTTTGGGGCTTGCGCTTATTCACGATGGCTGCTTGAAAATGGCACTTACGAATGTAGGTTGATAGCTTCAAAGTCTAGAGTTGCTCCACTAAAGCGGTTAACTGGAATGGAATTGCAAGCTGCAGTTCTAACATCCAGACTCACTGAAACTATTATGGCAGAATCAACACTCAAGTTCAAGGAAACTATTTTATTTTGAGACAGCATGACTGTACTTGGTTGGCTAAAAAAAACCTGCTGGATGGTTTAAGCAGTTTGTATCTGTGAGAGTAGCAGAAGTAATAAGACTGCATCAGCAACATGGATACATGTGCCCGGTACTTTAAATCCTGCGGATGAATTATCTCGAGGTGTAAAGGCCGAAGAACTGAACGGACGATGCAAGAATGGTCCAGATTTCCTGAGACTTCCGATAAGTGAATGGCCAAATAATACTGTCAAAGAAAATGATGAACAAGTGGACGTCATTGAAAAGAGACCTGTGTTTTGCGGTAAGGTTACTGTAGAGTTGGGTGATGATATAGAGTTGGAAATTAATCGAGACATGGGAGGAACTCCTAGAAGCATATCGAAAGAAAGTATATGGGAATGACAAAGAAATTGACGCAGATCTGGTACGAAAGTTAAAGGTTCTAATGCTAAGAAGAGCTCAGAAAGATACCTTCCCTCACAAGTATAATTGTATGGAAAAGAAGTTATACTTAAAGAACAGTATTCGACTAAAATGTCTTGCACCAGAATTTGATACCGACATTAAGTTGATTAGAGTTGGTGGACGTCTTCGACGAACAAACAACATAGAAATTGATGTACATCCTATCGTTTTGGATCCTAAGCATCCGATTACAAAACTGTTAATCAAACGAATAGATAGCAACGCCTTCAACCACAGTGCGGGCTGTGAACAAGTCTTCAGCTACATCCGAAGAAGATTCTGGATTTTGAAGGGACGTAACACTGACAGATTCATTTTAAGAACTTGTTTAGACTGTCAACGATAGAGAGGAAAACCAAGTATTCCGAGAATGGCCGATGTTCCAGAAGCCAGGCTTCGTATAGGGTTGGCAGCCTTTTACAGTGGTAGGGATTGCTTTGGGCCATATCTGGTAAAAGTTGGAAGAAGGTCTGAAAAGAGGTGGGGTCTAGTGTTCAAATGCATGACGACCAAAGCTATACATATAGAGTTATTAAAATCAATGACTGTGGACTGCTTTATGATGGCATTTAGGAGGTTTGTCGCCAGACGTGGTGCTCCTAGAGAGGTATTTAGTGATTGTGGGACGAATTTTGTTGGAGCAGAGAGCGAGTTTCGAGAAAGTTTTAAACAGATGAGTTTCGACTTGCAGAAGCGTCTAGCAAGTCAGAAGGTAACTTTTCACTTTAATCCTCCTTACTCTCCTCACTTTGGTGTATTATGGGAGCGAGAAGTAAAATCCATCAAACAAACATTGAAGTGTTTTATGAAAGACCGTATTTTTCCAGAAGTCGTGCTTCAAACCATTGTAGCTGAAGTAGAGGGACTTATTAATTCCAAACCCTTAGGTTATACATCATCTGACATATCTGATTTAGATCCAGTGACACCAAACATGCTTTTAATGGGACGGCGGGATCAATCATTACCATTTGCAGCAATCAGCCCCGTGGAAGAGATCCAGAGTAAAAAACAATGGCGACATACCCAGGCAATTGTAGATTTGTTTTGGAAAAGGTTTGTAGCAGATTACATATATAT